GGTTGAGGACCTGAAACCACTCGCATATCAGAATGGTGCGTTAACAGCCTCTATTTTTAGGATGAATCAGATATAGAGGGTTATAGTAATTGTGAACAGATCTCTGTTTGCTGGAGATCAGCTGGAAAATTAGGAAGCTAAGATATTACAGCTGCGCTAAAAACTAGTGTATCAGTTATTTACTATGTGAGTCATATTTAACGATGAGAATTTTGGTCCTTTGTAGTTCAACTATAGTCAAAGAGAAACTTATTTAGTTTGTATACAAATTTAAGCATTCCTGATCGTTGATAAATCTGGCATGAATAATATCATTTGTTACGGAATAATATTATTATTGTGGGTATTACTATTGTTCATCAGTAAACACAAGATATAGTTTGTGTTCAATCGCTAGTAGATCTGCGTTGATGTTATAAATACCAGAATGCCAATTGCACTACTAGTTCGTTATTGCGGCTGAAATTCCGCATTTTGAGAGGAAATACGAAAACAGAGTCAGCCCACAAATGGATTTAAATCGGCGCATCTACCAAAAATAATTGGTACCTAAAATGTTGCGCATTTGGAAACATTTTGTCAGCGAATGTTCTTGAATAAAAACAATTATTTTTTTTGTGGCTTGTGCAGTTATCATTTGAAAGGGTCACACCATCTTAGCCATGACGAGAGATTGGAGGGATATACTTAGCATACTAATTCTTCTTAATTCATTACCTACATATGCGTCTGGAGTAAACTTAGATATACCAAGAATATGTTTACAAAATGACAAATGAACTTTAACAATATCTGGCATCGTAAGACCCCCAAACCTCAGCCACATAGGAGCTTTCTTCGATTCAAACAGAACAAACAATTTGCCAAATTTTGAAAGACTTTGCTTCAATATATACATAGCCTTCAGCGCATGCATGGATAGAGGTTTTTCTGGCACATATACCAGGAGTTGTATTTGTGAAGAAAATATGCATCTTAAATACTTATAATTAGATTCAATCTCTACCTCTGTATGGCCATAATACCAATTTTCGTAACTTCAAAGATAGCCACCTCAGCGGAATTCAATCACTGTTAATTTATCCATATTAAATTTTAATTTCCACCTTAAGCAATCTATCTATCTATCTATCTATCTATCTATCTATCTATCTATCTATCTATCTATCTATCTATCTATCTATCTATCTATCTATCTATCTATCTATCTATCTATCTCTATCTCTCTCTCTCTCTCTCTCTCTCTCTCTCTCTCTCTCTCTCTCTCTCTATATATATATATATATATATATATATATATATATATATATATATATATATATATATATATTTATGCAACCTGTTGAGCATATTTTGCAACTGGTGAGCAGAGTCAGCAAAGACTGTTAAATCGTCTGCATACAATAGTAAAAATAGTTCCTAAGGTTTCTACTGAAACTCACCTGTTTCCTTCAGCTTAAAGGGTTTAAAATCGTTGAAAAATATAAAAAGGAGCAAAGGAAATAAAACACAAACTTGGAAAACTAATCACATCGGTAATAAGATTATTGGACTTAACACTTGCTTTTACATCAATGTAAATTGCTCTAATGATTCGCAACATTTGTCTATTAACATTTACTTAGCTTTTTGGTACAGTAAACATCTCACTTTACTAGCAAAGATTTTATTATAGCCTATAAATACTACAAAGAATCTATAACTACCTTTTTTTTTAAAAAAAAATATAAATTAATATATATGATATAAATATATTATCTGCTGTAGAATAATTCGTCCACCTATTCATTGATCCTATTATTTAAAATGGATGTAAACTCTTTGCCTAATACATGTAGTAAACTAATGCCTCTGTAATTCGAGGTTCATTTGAATCCACTTTTTTCAAGATTTGTATAATGGTAGCTATTGACCAGTATTCTGGATACTATCCAACATCTAATATTTTGTTAAATAATATTGTTAATATTCTTACAGTTACATATAAAGAAATTGCTTGATAAAGCATCTATTTTCCCAGGTTTGTCCTGTGTCAGTTTACTCAATGCAAGGCGAATCCTCTCTTCAGTGATTGTTATATATCTAAAGTTTCATGAGTTTTTGAATGTTTTCAGTTTCCAGTATCAGGGCAACAGAAAAAGAAAAATTAAAGTTATGAAAAATAGAGATAAAAGTTATGGTTTTGCTTTCTAATTCGTATTTCTATACTTTTTTTTTTATCGCTAAGTGATTTGCCTCATCTTGATTCGCCAGGTCATACATGTCTTTGACTTCTAAATAATTAAATTATTGGGGTATACCATTACACTACCACATTTGATAAAATTTGGCCCCGTATTGAAATCAACCGCAATTATTATTTTATAGTCAGCATATTTCACTTTTAGGTGAACTAATTTTCTATCACTGAGTAACATTTGTTATGAATAGCCTTTTTATAACCTTTTTTTTTTACTTTTTGGTATGGGAAGGAATACTCATAACATAAGAAATGTCTTTGACCATGGGGGAGAGAGAGAGAGAGAGAGAGAGAGAGAGAGAGAGAGAGAGAGAGAGAGAGAGAGAGAGAGAGAGAGAGAGAGAGAGAGAGAGAGAGAGAGAGAGAGAGAGAGAGAGAGAGAGAGAGAGAGAGTTCCGGTTCTCTTAACAAAAGATGTGTCACTCATAATCATGTAAGTACGGCTACATCTTAGGGAAAATGGCGATACAAGAGGTACGTCATCGCTGCAAGGAAAGACAGTCTTCTGATTCTTCTATGATCGAACTTCATATAAATAATTGATATATAGATTTATAATACTACTTTCTAGAAACACATCTTATAAAACATTTATATTTAAAATACGTATAAAAATATACTTTTCCTTCGGGCTAACTAACTTCCTACATTTGCATAATTTCTGCCTTTTAGAACATAATCCCGTTTAAATTCATGACAGCCAAAGAGTATAAAATTCAATAGTTGCAATATTGTGCAACAATCGTTTTGAAGAAATGTATTTTACTAGATTTAAAATAGAATACTAATTTGAAAAAGGCTACTAAAACACTATTCTTTAATATTTAAAGAATCTTTAATTTCCAAATTAAATCTAAACATGAAGTTGTTAGCGAATTCATCTTTTCAAATAATACATGCCATAAATACAAAGGAATATAAATTCTTTGAAACAATTAAACATTCAATTATATTATAATATAAAATATAAAGAACTCACAAAAAATGTTGCAAAATATCAAGTCTAGTTTGAACTTTACTGTGAAAATATCAACATTCAAAAGTTCTTATATTGTAAAGAAGTTTACGAATTTAGACGATTCTTCCCTGTAAGGAAACACAGAGCTCTATAATTCTCGATGAACGAATGATTTTGCGCAAGCTGGCTCTCAATTTATACGCATTACTTGTGTTCGTTCATTTCGAATCAGAACAAGGCTCTCATCCATTCCCACGGGAAACGCGTGAATCATCTGGTTTACTCATCCATTATGGATGTAGGAATTAGTCTGTTCGGCAGCTTCCCACCTGTTCTGAAATTTAATTACCTTTGGATCCAAAAGAAATATATTTTCTCGTTTTTTTTTTTTGCATTAGCTCATCAAAGCACAATCTTTGTTAAAATAGTATACAGTTGTAGTACAGAAATAGATAAAAAATAGTCTAAATATATTTCAGAGGAAAATTACTTTCAAAACAATTTTATGAAAAAGTATTTTTAATATGATTTAGAGAAAATTTCGATCTTAATAGTTTTAGTCAAAAATACTGTCCTAATACATTTTCCTTACAATGGAACAGATGGGTATTAAGTTTACAAATAGGTAAAACCCAAATTGATGTTCCATATAATTATACTAGCCTTAGATGACACAACTAAACAAGTAATATTTTTGAGACATATTTTTATTTCTAGAAATGGGGTTCACGAACAAACGTTGAGATCCCCGCCCACTGAATTTCATTTAGCTTATTGTTATTTAATTCTTATGATATCAAAGATTTTGTAACTCTTAATATTCAGCTGATCGATAGTTTCTGCCTACGTTATAACAAAGCATTGAATATCAAATTTTTCATCGTAATACAATCAGAATACTTTTCTCAACGAAGTTTCTCATTTAAGCAGATACATTCCATACCAGGGGCCCCGAGTGGCCGAGTGGTCTAAAGCGCTCTCCGTTACGGATCACTGCCATCTCACCTCTGTCTGCGTGGGTTCGAGTCTAGGATTCGGCGAATGTGGATATGTGAGAAAGCTTGCCAGTAGCTTCTCGTGGGTCGGTGGTTCTTTCCGGTGATTTCCCGGTTTCTTCCTCCACCATTAATACTGGCCGCCATGAATAGCCTACCGTGTGCTGAAAAATGGCGTTAAGCACAACAACAACAACAACAACAACAACATTCCATACCAATCAACCTAACACATAATTATAACCGCTCTTTTCATAAACATTTGTAGGCATCGGCCGGAGTCTTATCTTTTATTTACAAGAAGAGTAACATTTATAAACTTATCAAACAGTACGAGTAACCGTCGATTATTAGCTTGTCTTATTTGTAAAAATCCTTTGTTTCTTTTTTTTTCAATGGCTATTTTCAGCGTCGGGTAGAGGCCGACACGAGCTTTGTTGTCTCTGAATGAAAAATCTAAGATCGTGATTGTCAAAGTTTCAGAATATAAAGACAAGAGGAAGTGTTGAGGTGCTATATAGAGACTACGAAGGAAGCTAGGGAAGTAGCCAACAGGACCAAGAATTAAAATGAGGATAGATCGGCAAGTAGCAAAATAGTTAACGTAAGTATAGCTTAAGATTTTCAATAATAATAATAACAATAGCAATAATAATAATAATAATAATAATAATAATAATAATAATAATAATAATAATAATAATAATAATAATAATAATAATAATATTGATATTTTTAAGATAGATAACACATTGGCTATTGCTAAACTATACGGGTGTGTGCCAATGCTATTATTATATCTTTGGTATGACTCAGCCGGTGATCGAATCGTCTACCTCCCGCATTCGAGGCGGACGCTCTAACCACTAGGCCACCGAAGCTGACGTAAAGACTAAACTATACCAGAGTGTTTACTCTGTCTCCTTATGTACATTTGCAATATTCATGTAATTAAAAGTAGAAAATAAAACATAACTTTTGGTCGAAGAAATTTCACTAGAATACAAGAACATTACACATACAAATACACATATTTAACATTCGAACGGAGTTAAAATTTACTAAAGGCAGCTGTGTATTAACCGATTGAGTGAACTCCTCTCATTTCCGAGTGTGTCCGCTACAAAATGTAGTTCTATGCCTATTGTGGCTATTCACAATCTCTTTTTCATATTGAAAAGTTGATTGCTTTTTTAATTTTTATTTTTCTTCACATTGTTTAAATCAATATAATACACACTTATGATTTAAACATGAAAGATGGTTTTAATAATAAAAGTAGAGCATTACAAACACTATGTTACCTACGCGATTCACATGAACTCTAAGTCATCGTCTTACAGGCTCATAGAAATTAAGATGGAATAAAAATTAAGCAAAATGACGAACCAACAAGAGAGAATTAAAATAGTATAGCATATTTAAAGTTGATCTAAGTCATTATTCTGCTTTAGTAACAGCACCACCGACGATAAATAAACTCTTTCTGGTAGATTTGACTTTAAAATTCTCTCATCCTTTGGTCGGTTTGATTGAACTTTTAGTAGCATTCTTAAGTCCAGAGAGATCGTGGGATGACACAAACGAAATCCTCTACTTTCGTCATTTCATAGATTTTAGCTAGTATCTTGCTACGATGGGAGAGAGAGAGAGAGAGAGAGAGAGAGAGAGAGAGAGAGAGAGAGAGAGAGAGAGAGAGAGAGAGAGAGAGAGAGAGAGAGAGAGAGAGAGAGAGAGAGAGAGAGAGAGAGAGAGAGAGAGAGAAGAGAGAGAGAGAGTAATTTCTCCGAGAACCGTGATGTTGTCAAGATGGCATTGTTAAGAATTCCTTCGAATAATCTATAACAGTTCCAGAATAATATCATTGTTCAAATAACGAGCTCTTTCTATTTCCACTGAAAGTGTTTTTTTTCTTGAATAATATCGAAGTACAACATAAAACTCGTTGTAGACTTGTAACAGGAACACAGGATATGTGAATGTTTCAAAATCTCAGTCTTATCTTTATATACACAATCTATTTCCACTGCTTTTCGGAATAGACCACACAGAGTGGATCAAACTACTTGTTTTGTGTAAAAACATTGCCTATTTATGTGACCTAGCCCAACCAATGAAAAGTTACAGAATTCTTCCAGAAGCGTCTAAACCCTATCAGCCAACAAGAACATAAGCCATATACGCCAGGAGGTTTCTATTTATATATTATATGCAATAATTTAATTCCTATGATACTCAGTAAAGAAATTTTGTACGATTCACATATATGAATATGTAAAATAATTGGCCGTTCATGAGAAACTTTTGAGTTCGTTTACTATTTATCTTCGTTTCTTGCCACTCGTTTGTTTCCTAAGTGGTTGTTTGTATGTCAGTCGCGAAGTTGGTTGGTTGGCTGTTAAACTTGAATATCTCTAAAATTCTCAATTAAAATAGCTCTCTAATAAAAATAAGTCTCTAACACAAAATAACTCTCACAATATTAGTAAAATGAAATTCGGAGAAGTACACAAATTATTATAATTATAAACTCATTTTCTTCTAATGACAGTATGTGTAAACCTGTTCAATGATCGATGTGACCCCACGTGTAATTATGAGGAAACGAGATATCTCAGTCAGTAGAGCCGTTAACACACAACTGTTGATCGCTGGTTAGACGAAATGGAACCTCAATACCGACTGACTTAATTGTACCCATCAGGAAAATACCTTGCCTGAGTTCATTGTGTCGTCGATTGTTGTCTTGATAAAAACATTGCCAATAGTTAATGTTACTTGTAAAAATCGAATGATCACGTTATATAGAGCTTAATATTATGCCATAAATATAAAATGTGCATTAATAAACCAATCTGCTTCAACACATCCATTAAACAATATTCCCGATCTTTTAGTAGGAAGCCGATCTTGAAATCCGCTTTCTGTCGGACAGAGTAGAACAACATACAAACACGTGACATTTATTCACCAATATCATAGCAAAGGCTATTTTGAATGTTTGAGCATGTAATACGCATGTCAAAGTGAGAAGCATTATGGTATGTTGGATACCAATTTCTTTCAGATTTAATTACAATCATATTAAAAATAATTGTGTCCATTTTATTGCCGTGAGATCTGATCATTGAAAACTTTGGATAAGGAATCGTTTTAAAAATATTATTACTTTACCAACATCAGCATATCATGAAAAACAAATTTCCATGTTCACCATTGTTGTAGTGACCTTGATCTAGAAAAGATGGCTGATTGATATATAGAGATTAGTATAGGTAGAATTAACATTGTCGTGCTCCAAAGATGAAATCCATTTCTCAAAACTGTTGAATGATAATACTGAAATAATTTGCCTTAATTAGATCATTATATATTCCTCCATCTCCCCTTTAGTGAATGACAAGTTTTTCCATTACTGAACGACATTAACGCTATTTATAATGAAATCTACTCACAAACAAAGAATTGCTTGAGTTATTTTATAATTTCTCTAGGGCTGTTTTGTATTTAATGGTGAATATCCTATTCAGATAAAATTTATTTGTCCGTAGAATTTTTTTTTAACATTATTATTGATGGATCTAGGAGATGGCGTGGGCTGGTAGCTGGAGGACAAATGTGTATTACCTGTATGTAAAACTCAAGAATTCGCTAAAGGCGTAATCCAATCATGTCGCCTTGTAAATAGTTCTTTATGGACTAAAGACATAAAATATACCTTCTAAATGAAAGGAAACATAAAATGAAATAACTTTTTAACTTGAAAATTGTCTATTCAGCATTTGACAGGTATAGAGTTTCAAAGTTACTTAATATTAATGTCGGCTTAGAAATAGATCTTAATGGACTAAAGACATCAAGTATGCCATCTAAATGAAACAAATCATGAAATGAAATAATTTTGAAATTTGAAAAAGGATATTCAGCATCTGACAGGTATTTAGAATCAAAGTTATTTAATATTTTCAACATTTTAATTCACTTCTTAACTTATTTTATAGTAGCAATATATTTTTACCAAACATTTAATTATATCACACACAGATTAATAATGGTATAATTTTTTACTCTAGCTTGCAAGATCAATACATACGGATTATGAGTGCTGTACAGGGCGATGTTAATTTTTTTAAGCCAGTCTGAGACTGATTTTGTTATGAAATTCTCTTCTCTGATCTGCCCATAGTTTATGTGCCTTTCTTGAAGATCCTTATTTTCTATTTGAGTCACGCATATTTACTGCAGATATCGATGAATGGTGAGATAATGGAAACGATCGTTGTACACGCAATAAATCTCAAATCAGCAAGAGCTGCTGACCATGACAATATCACGTCTACGTCTCCGGCGATTACTCTACGCCGTGGAAAATGTTTGCGTGCGGGTTTATGCAGTTCCTCTGGAAGATCTTCTGCTGCCTTGAAATATATTCCTAACTTATCTTTACTGCTTACGATACCTATAACGAGAGCTCGATTATAAAATTCTCTTCCCTGATCTGCCCATAGTTTATGTACCTTTCTTGAACTTCCTCTCTGACATATTTAGGCTTGACTTTCCACTAGCACGACTCAATAACATCCTGTATTATCGTCTCTGTAACATATTTCGTGGTGCCTTGCAATGGCATCGACATCGTTGTAGGGTTACTGACATGGAGGGGACTGAATGCCTTGTTCCAGTTGCTAATGTAATGGGCTACGTTGCCTGTAGATTTATGTCCTGCCAATGTCCATCCAACACGAGATCCAGGAAGTTTTCCGATGACAGCGTGGACATTCATAGCTCCTCTGAGACTTTGTCCATGTCTAAATCCTTTATAGTCTCCCACGCACATATTTGTTTCCACGCGAGAGTAATCACGTCATATCTAGTTCACAGTGTCGGCAATGATCCATTTCGTATACAAATTTATAACACTAAGCTTTACTGGTGACAATGTGCACTTTTTAGGAACCGCACACAGCACATTTCTACTTTCTCATGTATCGATGAATTTTGGTAACCACCTCGACGGGGCCGACACTCTCCGTTTTGGCTTAACACTTCAGGCACCACGAGATCATGATGGTTATATGAGGAATGGATATTATTTTGAAACTTGTCAAATAACTTAAAAGGGAGATTGTCCCTCCTGTCCTTTTTGGATGTAATCGACGAAGTACCATCCACAGGTGCTAAAATGGACGTTTTGAAGTTGTAACGATTTACACGCAGCTTCTTTATGCAATATTTTCAGATATCGCACGACATCCTCGAGAGTGAGTAAGCCGAACGAATCGAAATACTCGACATCGTTGCAGTGAGGATCATTGACGATGGCTACCCTGTCCATCATAATAATTCTGGAGATTAGCGACTCAGCTCTCGTCAGGCCTGATCTGTCCTGGAAGTTGATCTTTGGAAAAGACTCCTCGAAAATGTGTAGACGCTAAGAAATATTAGAGACCAAATTTGCCTAAAACCATTTTTTACTCATCCCTTTACCACGTGTGGTTCCTGGCAACTGAAGTCCTTTACCGATGCCGTGGATTCTTGGCAGTAATGTTTCAGTGATGCCTGCTAACAGAGGGCCGATAAATCCACCTTGTTTGGACACATGTGAGACTGATAAGTTTAGAACTATACCTTTCCAAACTGCCTTATGTTTATCTTGACAATGGGTCAGCGTGACCTGATCTGGTCTAATGAGTATTAAGGATTTTAGTCTTATGCAGCAGGTCTTTTATGAGTGGCAGCCACTTTAATACTTTTGTTTTGCTGTGGAGACAGCGTGACTTCGCCTAAAACGTACGACGACTTGATGTTATATGAAATGCAGCAGCAGAGAGGGTGAATCCTACAAAATTTTGCTTGTGAAATTAACCTGAAATAAGTGTTC